CGCGGACGGACTCGCGGGCAAAGCTATAAAAATATAAACGGCAAATAAACCTCTGCGATGTCTTAAAACATCGAGGAAGTATTAAAACCATCTCCATTTCCCAATTGCTATTTTCAGGAATACTGGGGTAACCTTTGGAAACTGTTAAAAAGTAATTTTCGATTATTACATTATCTCAAATCGTTACTTCGTTTAACTATTAACATACAGTTCAGTACCGGTACCCGGTAGCGTCGGCAGCTGTGTCGCAAACACACCACGTAACCTCTTCAGAATAATGCATAATAGAATTTAATATGCAGTCATCAGTGCGGTAATTACTAAATCCTCTTCTACAACTACACATAAAAGAATTGAACCAACGCAGATAGTTTGAAAAGATTTGTTTTATAAAAATAAATATTCTGTAACGTATTAGTTATAGTAATACAGAAAATTACTCTTCGTATGGCTAATTTATAGTGAAACTAGCTTTTGAACTCGATTCCAACTGCGGTGAATTACAAAAACATCAGTGTGAAGTAGCCTATGTTATACACATGTGCTAAATGTCAACAAAATCCTGAGTCGTTCTGAAATAAGAAACATCCATGCAATCTTTAGCATTTATATTAGTATGATTACTAAGACGAATTTATTAAGTCACGTGATATTACACTAATATTATAAATGCGAAAGTTTAGATGGATGTTTGTTAGAGTTTGTAGCCTAAACGGCTGAACGGATCGCTATGTAATTTGGCATCGATGTAGAGAATTGTATGGAAGAAAACATAGGCTACTCACTTTCGTTTTTTTTTTCATTCTATGAGGAATGCGGACGGAGTCGCGGCCGAAAGCTAGTAAAATATAAATTTAAATAGCGTGTAATACAATTTTATTCTCACAAATAAAGTGTTAAATCTACCCTTGACACAAAATGGTGTCGCAACGAGAAATTGATTAAACGATTGTCCATTTTGATTCCTTAAATAGCGGAAAATGTTTTTTAGCACTCAAAAGTTTAGTTTTAGTTCTAGAATTTTCTGCATAAAAATTTGCTAACAATTCTGTCTCGGAATATTATTGAGAATTCATTTAATTTGATCTATATTTAAATTATTTGGTTTCAATAAAAATAAATACGAAATTGTCGGACTTCAGATGAAAAGAACGTAATTAGGTAAATGTAACGGATAATTTTTAATCAAAGCAAATTGTCGCAATATTTTTTTGGTCCAATTTAAAATTCACAGATAATAACTTTTACTGATGCGAGATTAAGTAACAAGAGAACGCAACTTATCTGTGCTTGTTTGTCAACAAAAAAAAATGTCGAAAGTTATTTCACGCTTTAATAGAATTTCCGCCCACTAACCTTATTATGGGTACTCCAATACAATACAGTATGCGTTCAACTTGCATTGAATGATCATAATTTGATTGACTGGTTATCAAAGATTAACATTTACATAGAGTATTATCAAGTTTTGTTTTTTCATAACTGGCACTCAGTGAAGATATAATATCATAATATTGTCCATAATTTTTGCATTCTTGCAAAAACATTTAATCTGATCGAAAAAGGATCAAGGATTCACAGAATTGTTTTACAACAGTTTACAGTTTTTATTCTTTTTGTCCGTTCACCACATCTTGGTGAAAGATACCAATTTAAATCAACTTTATTTTATATTTTGTATGTTATAAAAGTGCACGGCAGTTAAGCAATATAATTACACCGATTACACTTCAATCACTTCGCCGTAACGTCATGTAACGAATTCCCGCCTTTCTGTTTGTCAACAAAACAAAATGGCGGAAACGCAATTAGTTCGCGCCTCTATTGTGTCAACATACAGCCACATTTTCCTTTCTATTCAAAGAAAATTAACAAAAGACTCTTAACAATGTTCTTATTTTTGTTAATTTGAAATAATTATCTTTGGTTAACTTACGTAAAATAGAATAAAAATAAACCATGTCCAAGTCAAAATTTGAAAAGCTGTTGTAACAATTTCGTAACATTCACTTTAGCAACCTTAAAGTCGTCTGAAATCTATGGTAAAATCCATTAATCAAGCGAGATATCTTCGTTTTGAAACGCAAACGTACCGTGAATACAATGCCCGGGGGAATCTGACATGGCCATGGTGTGCTCAGAGCCTGAGCTACAAACAATATCGCCATAACTCGCAAAATCACTAATTACAATGTTTCTTAGCTCATTCACTTCAAAACTAATTAAAAAAAAGTGTATTTCGTTTCTTTTGACGAGCAACATTCGGATTCTTTGAATAACTATAGAATATAACAAAGCGGAACACACACTCCATTGTGGCGTAGGATGTCAGCAATCACAACATATATGTAATAAGTCTTTCTTTAATAAAATATCCCTAAACTTACGACACGCTTTAGGCTATATAATTTCAAGCTATTAAAGTTAGGTGGTAAAAATATTTGAAAAAATCCTTCATGTGGGAAAAGGACCATAAACGTAACCATAAAGCGCTAGCTTAACAAATAATAAAAAAAAAAACAAACCCAATATTAAGGAAGCAACGTTATTAAGGTAACGGTAATTTTGACATTTGCAATCGAGAATTTGACAAATTTGAAAAATAATATAATTTCATGCGGATGAAGTCACATGGAAACAGCTAGTATTGTATAAATGTCTATGTATAAGAAACAACTTGACTAAGCAAAAAATTGCATAGCATCTTTGAGATCTATAGATAACAGAATGTTTTGTACATGTATTTCGTGAATGAAAACCCACTGTTAAAACATCGTCACACTTGAACTACTTTGTCGTATTTATCTTCCGTGCTTCTGGCCTGAGCAACCGCAAATTATTAGCAATTTAACTTAGCTCGTTGTGTTAATGTAACGCTGTTGTGACACTCAATAGCCTACTGAAATATTATACAACAGTTATTACAATATTTAAAATCACTTCTCACGAGTTTACATAGGTCAATTGAAATTAATTTGGAAATTACGTATAAAATATCCAATACAATTTAAACTACAGCTACTTGGCGCTAAATGTCTATCAAGCAGAACTAAGCAAATAACATTAATAGTGCATGTTTATGCCTCTTATTATTTGAACATAATTAAAGTCCGGTACTTAGCTTGATGGTTGTTTATAAGTATTCATTAAATTTTGGTTGTATTAAGAATCACCTAATTGGCGCGAGATATGATGCGTGGCCGCGCAGAGTGACAGACGAAGAGCAAGAGAGTGAATGAATGTCTAATAGGGATGTCCGTGCGGCGCTGTTGCTAGTGATGTCTGTTATCGATCATTAGAGATCCAAATATAGGTTATACAGGCGCCAACAGTGCATTTATATAATTTATAGTCTATCTCTTTCTATGTAGAGTCAACAAAGAAAGTGTTCGTCCTCCATAAATACCGTCATCTCAATCTTTCCTTCATCATCATCATGATGATTCATGTCACCTTTCACGCAATACCTCCGTCTTATCCAATGCTCGCTGAATATTATAGACTAGGTGTTCCCGTGAGACTTCATCCACATAAAATTATGAAAATATTAATTTTATTCTTTACATGTGTCAAAATCTCAATTGCAAATGTCAAAATGACATGACATGATGACAAACCATGGCGACCTTGCTTCCTTGATGTTGACAGCTTGTAGTTTGTGATACCTTTCCAACATGAAGGTATTTTTCCAATTTATTTACCCCCTAAGTTTAATAGCGTGAACATATATAGTCTAAAGCGTGTCGTAAGTGTAGGGCTTTTTATCAAAGAACGGATTATTCAAAAATATGCTGTAGTTGCTGAGATCTTACGCCACAAAGTAGTGTGTGTTTACGCTTTATTATATTAAGTATAGAAGTATAGATTAATAGTACAGTGTAATACTTAGACAGTAGGTTAATTTCTTAAGAAGTAAACACCACTTGGGTGGCCTTTAACAGTAATTGGATCTCGAGTCAGGCGAAGCAGAGCGATTAGTTTTAGAATTACACGGCTTTATTCTGTGAAGTGGTGGTCATTTTATGGTCAAGACAACTCGATCGTGAATTGACCTCTTTTTATGTATGACATAGATTCGTAGCGTGGTTAGAGCTCAGCTTTTGCTAGTCTTGAATTTGATTTTCCATATATTTTTTACATTAATTACTTGAATTCCAAAAAACTACTAATGTACAAATTTATAGGTTTAGCTTTCGCCCGCGACTCTGTCCCCGTGTAATTAAAAAACAAAAGTAAGTAGCTTATGTAATCTTCCCGACTACCCTCAACATCTATGCTAAATTTCATCTAGATCCGTTCAGTTTAGGCTATTCCTCTAACACTAACAAATATCCATCCATCCATTTGAACTTTCGCCTTTATAATATTAGTACTTCATCATCATCATCAACTTGCCCTTATCCCTTACGGAAGGTCGGCACAGTATGTGCTGCTCTTCCATACATCTCTATCAGCCGTCATATCTGTATCCACTCCTTTCTTAAGCATATCCTCTTTCACACAATCTACATACTTTTTCGGTTTTCCTCTACCTTTGAAGCCATCCACATTCATTCTTAACACTTTCAGGTTTATGTCACCATCGTCTCGTCGCATAACATGTCCATACCAAGCTAACCTTTTGCTTTTCAATTTCTCCACCACTGGCGCTACTTTCAAACTTCCTCTAATATACATTTTACTTAACATGTAAAAATAACTGCACTATGTGTAATAGAATCGTAAATGAGAAAATATTGTGTGTCAAAATTCTAAAAGAAGCACAATAAATATTAATACCCCATTAATTACGGAAATTCATTACAAAACAACACACTTTACAAAACATCTCGAACAGTTTACAATTTTGAGATCAATTTTTAACCGTATTTATGCAACATTCAATTAACATCTTACAATTACGTTTTGTATTTTAAACTGACACTGGTCAGTTCACGATCCTTTCGAAACTTCGAGTAGGGGAGACAGGAGTAGGGGTGGTAAAACGAAGCGACGCTCACTTAACGTTTTACATGCTGAGAGACTGTCGTCGTGTGAGGCCACTCATAAAAAAAACAACTGTCACTTTTTCGCGGCAACAAATTTTGGTTTGACGTTTCTGCGTTTCCCGCGTAATCTTTTGATTAATTTTTAGTGTGGTGTTTATGTGTCAGGATTTTTTGGCTAGTGCGACGGCCGTGTGGAGTGTGGGACGTGTTGTGTGTGATGTACTCTGCCGCTCTAGGTCTTGAGAGTGCAGCATGAGGGGCAGCATCTGTCAGATTTTGCTGTTGGCGCATGTCGCCTTTGCGATTACCGGACCAAGGGTAAGGGAGACAAATTCCTTAATTAGCTATATATAATAAAAATTAGTAAGCATAGTTCTATTACATTTTAAAATTATCAATGCCTTTAATTTGTATTTCGTACTTTTTTTTTTCTTTCAAATATTCCTTTCCACGCATGGCGTTCGGTCCTTAATAATCTGTGGAATTGATAAAAATTTAATTATTATTTTTATATATCTGTGGCCAGAAAGTTTTAAATTTTCTATAGTGTAAAAAAACTAATATGTGTAAGTATAGAAAGTTACATTGGTAAGTAAATCATGCAAGATAAGATAATTAATGATTTGCTGATATTGTGCGGGAAGTCATCCGTTGCACACGCACGCGGATACAAAGGCAATTTTTGACATCGATCTTTACCTTTTTTTTTACAAATAAAATAAAAATTCAAATATCGTACTAATGCGACCTTAATAATTTTTTTAAGAAAATAAAAAGCAAGCAATTATTATATAATTATAGTATTTTTAATACTTACTTAATGAAAATTTCTTTCGATATTATTATATGGAAAAAATGTTTACAATGTCCCAAGTCTGTCATTGGCTCTTGGATTCTCAGATCCTATAGATTTTACTTAAAAATACCATACGATATTTAATATTACTTGCAAAAACGCATCAAATTACACGAATATCAAAAGACGACCATCGCTCAGTGAAACTCTGATATGAATCTGCTTACCCAAGTTTCATAATAACCGTGCGATTTTTCTTAGATACGTTAACATATTTAAAACCTCTTTCACATTTAATTTCTCAACGCAACATAAATCGGCTAGAAAAACGAAATTATAAAAATATAGATAACATACGTTTATCTGAAAGTAATTGCTTGATGCAGGGTTTAAGAATAACAATAAATGTTTTTACTAGCTATCGCCCGCAACTTCGTCTTCGATAATTTCAGCAAGATTGCGGCTATCTTGAAGAATAGATAGATGGATCTTCTTTGTTTATTTCTCAAGAATATTCATCTTCTTTCTTACTAATATTATAAATGCGAAAGTTTAGATGGATGGATGGATGTTTGTTAGAGTTTGTAGGCTGAACGGATCTCGATGAAATTTGGAATACATGTAGAATATGGTCTGGAAGAAAACATAGGCTACTTAGTTTTTTTTTAATCCCACGAGAACGGAGTCGCGGACGAAAGCTAGTTGGGAATATTTAAGAACTTCGCTGTAACATAAAGTACGGGTTTAAGATGAGTACGTGTGACCTGGTTAAGGTAAAAGTGAAATGCAGTAACCATGAACTCGTGAACATGCGACTTGAAGTTAGAATAGACAACACATGCTAAGTGCTTCCACAGACATACAAATTCAAAGGGAAAAGTTCTTTAGATTACCATGGTAGCGTGCATTGCAAATATAGTGGGAATTATCCTAAGACAACACACGTATTTAAAATTTTAATTATATAGTTACTAGCTTTTGCAATTACAAAAGTAAAATGTCTATATGTTCTCTCAAACTATGTTCTATTTGCATCATTATCGAGTTCAGCAGTTTAGGCTACAAACTTTATCAATCCATCCATCTATCCAAACTTTGGCATTTATAATATCTGTAAGATAATAATACTGGCCGTCGCAAGCTTCTCCGTCTGCGCGGAATTAAAGAAAAAACTTAGTAGCCTGTGTTCTTCCAGACTATACATCTATACCTTTCAGCAAGATTCTTTGAGTCGTTCTTAAGATATGTGGCAACATCCATCCATCGAAACTTAGGAATTTACAGTAAAAAATAAGATAGTTTGTAGAAAATTTGTTGTTGCCAATTGATAAACGATTTTCGTATAAAATATTTCAAATACTTTCTATGTCTAACCCAGAAATGTTATTCGAATATTAAAAGCGGGCGTACACTTTTGACCAAACTATCGCACAACTGCAGATTGTTGATTGTTTCGCAGCTCAACTGTTTAGTTGCACGACTAAAAATCGAGTCATGTTCGCACCATATGTAACATATATAGGAATACGCGAAACTAAACAGTTGTGCGATATTTTAGTCTAAGGTGTGCGCCCGCTCTTACAGAAGACATTGTGGCGTGTAGAAAGTATGATCATTGTACGAGTTCACGGACGTATTAAGAATGATTCTACGTAGACATGCGATGTTTTCTTATTAAAATAATTTATACATTTTATTTTAAGAAACTTAAGTTAGTATTAATCACTAGTTATTCCCGCGCGGCTTCATCCGCACGAAATCATAAAAACTTTTATTGTCTACATTTGTCAAATTCTCAATTGCAAATATCAAAATTACCGTTAATAAACTCGCTTCCTTAATGTTGGCAGCTTGTAGTTTATGGTCCTTTTCCCACATGAGGATTTTTTCAATTTATTTACCTCATAAGTTTAATAGCGTGAAAATATATAGCCTAAAGCGTGTCGTAAGTGTAGGACATTTTATTAAAGGAAGAATTATTCAAAAATATGCTGTGATTACTGACATCCTACGCCACAAAGTAATGTGTGTATACGCTTTATTATATTAGTATATATTACAAAATTTCAATATTATTACTTCACGTCTAAAACTAGCAAATGTGAATATGTCGATCCAATAGCGTATGTAAGTCAGTATTCCTGTCTAACGATTCGTTTTTCTTTAATCTTTTTTGAAACGATGAGTTGCAGGAATTCATATTTTACGATCCTCTACTACTTATAAATTGGCTAAAAGGAAGAATATAATACATCGATAAAAAGTTTCACGTCTGTACCTATAACTCATCTGCATCCATTCATAATTAAAAAGAAACTAATCTGCATAAATATGCATTAGCGGTAAAACTTTAATTTCCGCTAACCCACAAGATCGCTTATTTATTAATAAGATGTCCAAATTTATTCATATAGTTTCGTATTCATTAACAAAATAAATTACAAGAAATTCCGCTTACATAATAAGTGACGTAACTGTCGTAAAACGAAGGAAGAAAGTCTTATGAAATGAAAATAAGGACAAAACGAAGATGTGAAATTATTGAAAAAATAAATACATCGTTTGGAAGGTCTATTTGTTTTAAGATTCATATTACAATTCCAAAAATACGACAATATTAAAAACAATAGAGCGTCGGTGGCATAAAAACAATAGAGGTTCGATTCCCGCCACGTACCAATGTGATTTTCGAATTTACGAATTTCATATGTACATAATTTACCCGAGGTTCTTACAGTGAAGGAAATCATTGTGATGCTTGCACATATCGGCAAAGAAATTCAAAGATATTTGTGATGTCAACCGGGCCAGCATGGTTGACTAAGACCTAGTCACCTAACTTAGATCAGGCTCCGATCTTCTAAGTGGAGACGTATAGTGAGCTGATGAGGAACAATAGGTCAATAGAGTACAAGCTATTACAATAATATCTCCTACAATATATTAAAACGACTAGCAACAAAATAAAATGATAAACTTTGGTAATACTTTAAGATCGCTATCCTTAGCTGTAGACCTTTTGAGTTACATTTATAGGTTACGTAAGGAGTTACGAAGTTTGCCGCGATCTCTTCCTAGTATAAGTTCGTGAAACAACCGACCCTTTGTTACGTTAATCTGATATTATAGGTATATTGAATGACATAGTTGTGCATACATTTGTAGATTACCAACTTCTGCGTTATAATGCATAGTTTTTGACGCTCCCATTCACAACTGTAGGGTATCAAAGATATACTCAAACATATCAATAGCAATAGGATTGTCACCTTATCGAATTTGCCTCGAAGTCTATTTTTGACCGACTTCCCAAAAGAAAGAGGTACTCAATTCGTCTGTATGTTTTTTTATGTGTGTTAAGGCATAACTCTGCCGCTAGTGGACCGATTTTGATAATTATTTTTTATCCGAAAGGTAGTGCTTGCAGGTGACCCACTTTTTTGTTTTATTTTTGGAGTCAAAGACTACGACGTGACGAAATTAGGGGTCTTTTTTGCTTTCTTCGCTGATTTGTATGTACAGTCTACAGATTTGACAAAGATGTCTACGACTCCAGAGTAGGTCTGTTCTTTTTTATGTCTGTATGTTTTCAAGTTGACAACCCTAGTGTAAAGTATATCTCGATAAGTTGCTAACTGATGCAGGATGTGGTCGCTAAGTGTGTCAACTGTGCGATCACTTTCTATAGACGAGACGAGACGAGGACGGGGGGAGGAGCGGTTACCGCTTCAAACCACTTTCCGTTTCATCCGTATAATTTGTTTCTCATCAAAGGTTAAGTGTTATGTTACGCAGATATTGCATAACCAATGCACGTTTTGTTGATTAACTTAATATGTGGTGTGGTATCCAATTCATCTATATAAAGACAGACTGTCTATTTTCCCATTGATATAATGGATTTAAGAAACTAATAATGTAAGTAATGGCGGAAATAAAACGTCTATATCTCAGTACCAGCTGTTGATCAAATCTTCGACAGCGCGGATAAAAAAATTGTAATAAATATAGCCTACGTAACTCAGTGATAACGGAGCTTTTTATTGGTGGAAGATTTTTTTAAATCGGCCCAGTAATTTGAAGTTATTCTAACATATATGAAAATCTAAAATTACGAATCTTTTCTCTTTATAATATTAATAAGTGTAGATTATCATAGTCAAAGTTTGGATTGATGAATTTGTCATAAACTCCACGACGGTTACTTAGAATCTTTTAACAAAAATAGATCTAAAAAAATAGCCCACAGACAAAATATCCAGAACAATATAATTAGATGCAAGTGTAACAAACAAAATTGAAACACGCAATAAGTCAATTAAAAGCTTATTTTGCTTTTAAATATTGACTATAAACATCTGTACAAACTGACATAATATATCCTCTCGTCTATTTGATAAACTAATCTCAATGAGTACTAAAACAGGGGTCGTTCACCTAATACTGTACACGTAACCAAGTATTATGAAATTCAAAATATTGCATAACATACTTTTACACTAGACATGCAGTTTTGTTAACAGTTTCACTGCAAACCTTCAGACCGGAACGAGTATAAGCAGCTTAACACTTAAAGCCCGCTACAGACGCTCAGTTCTGACATTAATAACTGAACAGTTTTATAGAGGGGAAAATTCTAAGTACGCTCATCTGAGCACTCGTATCTACGCTACATGGCCTGGTGTATCGATCTCAGGCTTGAGCGATGGTACAACTGAAAAGTTACAACAGAACGTTTGTAACGGGCTTTATTTTCAACGATAATGACACGGGTCAGTGGCGCTGTGAACGCTTACTAGACTTGCAATCTACATCTCTAGGTTTTATCTCAATCTTGTAACCATAGGAACCTGTACATGTCTATACTAATATTTGAAATAGAAAAGATTTCTGTATAGATTTTTATATGTATTGAAATAACTCAAAAACTACTGGGCAGATTTCAAAAATTACACCACTAAAAAGCTACGTTATTTTATTGAGTTTTACTCAGTAAGGTTATATTATTTAACTATCTTTTAGTTCTACGTGGACGAAGTCGCGAGCAACAGCTATCTATATGCGCAGTAAAACAATCTGCAATGGGATATTATAGTTAACGAAATTAGACTAGACTGAAGTTGTAGGTAAGGATGTGCATAAGTTAATGCTATCCGCTATCAAATTTCCCCTCTGATATATGGTCAAAAAAGTTTAAAATCACCCAACATTGTATATTGTTGAGTTTAGAAAACATGTTAAGTTACAAAGTCCAATACCTGGTAGGCGAAAAGGAAAGGCCACTTTCGTCGTCGTATGTCAATTGTGATTCAAACCGGCTACCACTCATCTGCGTACAAACGTGACTGGGAAATAACTTAAGATAAATCGTTCGCGTAGAATGTTGGGTGCTCTTTAATCATTTGAAAAGCTATTCTATTAGTACTTAAGAATCCGAATTGAATACCTCATCACAACTGTTGGGCGATTGTCGAATGTTTCGCAGCCAATTCAACTGTTTAGTTGCACAACTAAAAATCGAGTACTGTTCGCATCATATAAGCTCACAGGAATAAAAGAGCGACTAAACATTTGTGCGATAGTTTAGTCAAAGGGCGCGCTCTTAATGGTCAGCCAAATTTATATATTTAATACTCCCTTACAGATTCTTATACCTCAATTTATGTCTCAAGTAAACAATATGTATTCGTATACTTCTTAGCAATTTAGCTGTGAAAGTTGTTACCATCTAGGTGCTAACAATACGTTTCACGTCTGCAAGAACACTTAGGTAATTCGAATAACAAAAGTGCAATAATGTTGCCGTGTAAAACATTTTCTCAAATTTATTATGTTTATAGCTCTTTTTTTTGCTTTTTATGTACATTCGTCGAAAACTATTTAAGAGTTTTCTGTGCCACTCTTGTTATAGTTAAATGAACATCGATTGTCATTTGTTTTAATTAACAGCTCTCAAATGTAAAGATAACATTCGTTTTCACTTATTACGCAAATTAGCTACGAAACCACAACAATTATTCTCACAAATATTACAAAGAACAGCGCGAGTTTCTTACAATTGTGTAAAAATTTTCAATGACAATTACATCAAAGATCATTCTAAAAGTTTTATAAAACTACGCCTGCATTGTCTTCGAGATTTTTATTACTTTGTTTGTAATTAGGTCTACTCACCAAGGTTGGGAATTTTATAAAAATAAACGTAATTTAGTCCTTCAAACTCAATGTATTATTTATTTATTTATAAGGGCATTTATTAAAATCTCAACTATTACAGCTACCGTCGACTTTAAAAATTATTCTTTTGGATAATTCATTTAAATTCAAGAATTCTTACATAAATTAATATTCCGTAACAACAAACTAATCGACTAGACACATTTCTCCTTATCGTATTCCGCTTGGAAGCTTGAAGTATTTGCTAAATGAGGAACTAAATATCATAAGAGAACATAGGCGTAACTTTACAATTGAAACTAAACCAAATCATTGGAACCTTAACCTATAGTGATGTAGAGTGATGACAGATTAAATCCCTTTTTTCTTCTATCTTGATTGGCAGTCATCTTAACACGATCATTTGCCTCGACTGTTTGTCGGTATGTATTTCTCGTAGCTCGGCGCGCGCACGCGCACAAAGAATGCACTTTCGTGTTACTGATGCGTCACATACGTTCATGTTTTGTCGTCTCTGCCGAGAAACGTGTTCCAACACACGAATGAGCGATTTAAAAAGCATATCCGATTGTTATTATTAACACATTGACTTCTAGTTTGTCCTATGTCAATATCAACAAATATTATTTGTTGTGATAAAAAAAATAAGTATTTGTATCTTTTTCAGATAGAAAATGATTTCGATCGAAGCAGACAACCTCCGGCGGATCATCCTGGATTCAACGAACATCAAACGAGATTTGGAATCAACTCACCGCTTCAAAACTTCCAGCAACAACCCTTACTGACCAGCCCTCCGCCGCAGACTATACAATTCCAACAATCTATCTTTCAACAATCACAACATCAACAATCACCGCAACATCATCCATTGCCACAAAATCAACAAGCCTATGTACAACAATTTGGAAATGTAGGACCCCCTCAAGGTATCCCAAGTAATATTCAAAATTTACCGAGTAATATACCAATCGGTAACACTCACAACTTGCAATTCAATCAAAATCCTAATGGTAACCCAAATCTTAACAATTATCAACAACAAAACCTGAGACAATTATCTCAACAAAATCATAATATTCTTCCACAATCTATACCAACTCTCGCTTCATTCCAAAATAATTTGCCTTTAGCGCAAAATGCACCTGTTTTTAACTCAAACCCCAATATTCAAGGCAACGGACTAAATGTCGCACAACAAAGACCAACCCAACCTGCTTTTCTTCCAACTCCTTCATCATCACAAAATCAACCAATTTTCGGTCAGCCCAGTCCGATCACAATCCAGACCGCTCCGAACCTTGCCCCACAAAACTTTAATTTCGAAAATTCCCAACTACCTTTCCAGTCACAATTGAATCAGGCGCCGATATTTTCGAACGGCCAAACGACTTCCCAACTCCAAAGTTACTACGAACAACAGTCAAAAGAAAATTTAGAGAAACTCAAAGAGCTTCAAGAGAGACAACGAATTATTCAAAAGCATCAAGAGTTTGTAGAGAAACAACAACAAAAGGAACAACAGAAAGTAGAGAAGTTGCATGAAGAATTTCTTACAAAACAAGCGACAAAGACTGTACCAACATTAGCTACAACTGAAAGTTATGATAACTTCTACAATCAAAATCAAGAAAGACACAGACCGCTTCTCCCTCACGAGACTGATTTATTCAGGAAAGCACTTGAGTTATACGAAAAGGAACATCCGACTACGACTACATCAACTACAACAACCACTACTACAACTACAACAACAGCTCGTCCCCCACCCAGGTACAGATCCAGGACCACTTCAAGACCGAGAAGTCCGCCACAAGACCGAAATAAACAGAAACTTTACAACGATATAAAGAACTTGCTCGAGGAAAGTGAGACCAAAGGTTTTGACGAGAATCTACGCGCAAAGAGTGTAGAGTTACTTCAAAAACCAGATATTCTAAAACAACTGAAAGTAGCTTTAGCCGAAAATCCGGAAGACTTCAACGAGAAAAACTTTACATCTCGCGAAATATCTCTTAATGGACAAAAGTTTGAAGTAATAAGGACATCTAATCCTAATTTGATCCCGAGAGGAGCAATTACAGCTGATAGTTCAAACATAGCTAAAACTATTGCCGCAAATCAGGAAACCGAAACGCCAAATCCAATATCATTCGATGACTTGACTAAGGACGTTTTACCGCCTGGCGCGAATTACGAACTTATCAAACAATCAGATAACGGAAAACTAGAAGAAGTTTCTAACATTCAGAATTCTATACAAGGTAAAAAGAAAGTTACTTTTGTATTCCTTGAAGAGCAAGACGATGGCTCATACAAAGTGAAAGGTGTTAAAGCAAACGGACAACAAACTGAGGAAGGTCCAGAAGTGGAAAGCATTATTAACAAAATAAAGAAAGGTGAAATACAATTACCTGGACCTACAAAGATTTCTAATGCAGCGTTCACGTCAACAACTACACCTGCGCCAATTCCTACTACTGAGTACACAGAAGGACCGCCACGGAGTCCCTCGAGTTATAGCAGCTTTATAACAACAACTAATTACGGAACTTTGGGTCATACTAATCCGGTAGTCCATACTACTCCAAGCACCGTTACATACCGGAATACCGAAGCACCAATAAGAACAACACAACACCAAACTCAATCATATCCTTCCTTGCCACCACGGACCACCACAGAACGATTCCCAGTAAGATCATCAACTCCTCGGTACATATTAAATAGAAGCAATAACCAAGACTTGACACCAAGAGCGTCTTTCCCAAGTACTACAGTTATTAACAGCACGCCAGCCTATAGAACTACGACTGATCCCTTAGTGGTTATAGGAAGTAGTGCAGCACCACCAACTGAAGAAGCAAAATCATTTCCTGCATATAATGCTAACCCCGGTAACATTAATCCCGGACTCGTAGACATACTTAAGGAGAACGGACTCTTCGCGACAGCCAAATACCTGAGACAATCTGGGTTAGACACGATTTTAAATGAAACAGGACCGTACACTATCTTCGCACCTACGGATAAAGCATTCAGGACATTATTAGTCCAACTTGGTGGTCCAGATCGTGCTGAAGAGAAATTCAGGGATAACCCGAGATTGCTAAGCGGGGTCAGTATTGAATTTAATTACTTTTATTAGGCAAAATTAGTATGCATTTTTCATGTTATTTTACCTGTTCTAGCTTCTTCTTCATCACGTAATCCCTGGTGCGTTCGATATCGCGTCCTTACAAGATGAGATGACAGGAGTCTCCCTCGCTGGCACACAGCTGCGGGTCAACCAGTACGACATGCACGATGTAGAGTGGAACGAAGTCCGCGTCACCACTATTAACGGCGCTAGAGTACTTGACGACAAGAAAGACATTAATATACCACAGGTAAATATATAAAATCACCCATTCCAGATAGTTACAGCGAGAACATTAAATCATTTTTGCATTGCATTTCATGTATTTAACTGTATTTGTACTTATTCCAGGGCATAGCGCACGCCGTAGACAGAGTAATGTTCCCTCTACCGGTAGGTGACCTGGTGCAGACACTGCAGGCGGACAGGGACCGCCGCTTCACCATCTTCCTCAAGGCAGTACAAGCCAGCGGTTTCGCCGACACATTGTCAGGTCAGTTATATGATTTGTTTAAGGCTGAATAACAGTAAAAAATTACGGACGAATTAAAAATCTCATTGTAATGTTTTAATTTTAACTACCAACAGAAAGTAAAACGTACACGGTGTTCGCGCCAACGGACACGGCGTTCGGTCGTCTGACGCCGAGCGAGCTAACTCGTTTCGCGGAGAAGGGCGCGGCCCGGGCGCTGGTGGCGCGGCACGTGCTGCCCGGCACGCTGTACAGCGCGGGCATGCGGTACTACCAACTACGCAACTCTATGGAGGACGCTAAACCACTCACGCTGCAGAAGAACTCAGGTAAGTTTAACCGATGTTTCGAAGACAATAGAAGCGCCAAAATAAAAACTACCTGCGTAGTGATGTTAATTTAACGTAAGTTAATTATTTTGTGTTGAATTTCAGGTCGTATCAAAGTGAACAACGCTCAAGTAATCACACACAACATCCCGGCCACCAATGGCGTCATCCACGCAATCGACAACATATTGTGAACACACGCGGCTGTCACAATTACCCGCCAAATTAGCTTCAGTGAAGCTCGGACGCCGACATCTTGGAATTAACTTTTTAATTTCTCGGCTTCGCTGACTGCCTTTGTACAGCCACTAACGTTTTGTCTATGAAAATTGTTTTAAGACTGTAAATATAAAATTAGGCTAAGATAATAATTTATACTGCGTTTTTAACTTGTAAATAAAATTATTGACATACTAAATATTTTGTTTAAATAAAACAAAACCAATATTAGATAACTATTTATTTGTTTTTTACACACACTCGCACAAATTAACTAATTAAGTATCGACAAATTTGTGACAACTTCATATCACTTACAATTTTTAAATAAAATGCATAAATTAACTGTCCTAACTATAATTAATAAACAGTCCGTAATTGTGGACTCACGATGTGTCCAAACTGTCCTTTATACTGTCAATTACAAATGTCAAATTCAAAGTTATTCAACAATGGGATTTCTTTTAATCAATCAAGTAAAGCTTGGTGAAAGGGCTGCTGCAAACGCGGTTAGTTCCGTCAGAAAACAAGGCATAGAAAATGAGAAAAAAATATCTTGACATTAAAAAGATGGCGCTAGTGAGCTGTCATAATACCCACTGGTATAGGCATCCTTATTGGTATAGATATGTATTCATCAAACATAATCAAATGTCACATTTTAAGGATTTAACTTTGCTAACATCATTTTTAATTTAGCAATCTCATCATCTTTGGCAGCCAGCTCTTCCCGCAAAGCCTTTATGGTCTCATCTTTGTCCTCCGATAGATACTTCAACTCTTCCAGTAGTTGTTTTGTATCTAGCCTCTTAGTTGGTCTCCATTGAACAAGTTTACCAATAATATGGGCTATTTTCGGGTAGTTGGCAGTTAGTCGAGCAGGTATTTGCCCTTTTCTCAAGTCTGTAATAGTTTTAACTCGTTCCATTTCTGTACTGAACTGCTCGACCATCTCTAGAAGTATTATCCCCAAGCTGTACATGTCACTCTGGAAAGAAAAAGGAAAAAATAATTAAGATATCTACTAATAATATGGCTAAACAACGAAATTATAATTTTATGGCACAATTACTTTAAGCGGAATTCTAAAAAAACATTGTCAAAATGATAAATTACTAGTGACATAAAATATGGTTCACACTTCTTATTATAGACTAGTTGTGGCCCGTAACTGTTCTTGCTGAATCAAAAACTTAATTAGAAGTATATATTTCCAGACAATGTTCTATGTCTTTGTTATATATCAGCAAGGTCTTTTGAATAATTTTGGAAATACATAGACAAACATGCTTCCATCAACCTATACTTTTTGAATTCGTAAAATTGCTATTTTACCCTCTCCAGTTATATTGAGATACAAAAGTTAATAAACTCACCTTTGGATTACATTGTCCATCAAGTTGTTCAGGTGCTGCATACAAATGTGTACCCAGAGCCAAACCACTGTGTGATTGCTGTAGAGGACACGCCAAACCAAAGTCACCCAACTGTACTAATAAACCGTTCTCACTGCGTTCCACAAATACATTGCTTGGTTTAATATCATGGTGGATAATCCCCCTCGAGTGTATATAATGCAGACCACGGACAAGTTGGGTGAACATGTCCATAATAACGTCAATATGTGTCCAAGAGATCGGGTAATTGCATTCCGAGATAAAAGATGTGTCAAAACCTGTAGAATCACTTGAATCACTATGCTGAAGCGTCAGATCGTCAGAATTTTTCCTCGACAATGGCAAACGACTATTTCTATTATCCAACCATTGCTTCAGTGTTTGGTGACAATATGTCATTTGTATGTAAAGTGTGGCCCATTTGAGGTTAATCCTGGAGCAGTTTTCGTAATCCTTACCGGATAAAATCTTGCACAAGGCATTCTGGTCATCAGGTGTGATGGAATCATCATCACTGTCACTTTCTAATTCCTCATCGGAGCTCTCACCTTGCTCAAAGCTGCTAGAGTTTTTGAATGATATCACAAAATCAGATTGGCTGTTATTCCTTGTTAGCTCCTTAGAATCGTGTGTTTTAAATGATTTTACTATATTCGGATGCGCTGAGGATATTACATCAGAGTTCATCGCTGAAAACTCATCACTATCGTCCAAATTTAATTTGCGTTTCTTCTTTATTGTCGATTCAATCATTGGTTCCAACCAGGCAGCTTTATAATTAACAATATTAGGATGGTTGAGGCTGGCAATAGTTTTTACCTCAGCTAAATGTGTCATAATGGAGTTCACATTGGATGACTTGATGTATACTTTTTTTACCGCATATTTAACACCGTCCAGCCTATGAAGAGCTTTGAACACACTACCAAAGCCTCCGCCAGCGATGAAACATAACTCTTCAAATTCTTTATGGTATCTAGACCATTCTAGACCAGATGGTTGGACTATAGGCCAGGTGATAGGCAGAGTGATAGGTATTTCCGACCCATTGGCTACTGTCACTAACTGGTAGAGGGCTCTTTGATACTGACTTCTCATGACCTCAAACTCACCCATTGCATAAGAATTGTCAATCAAGTTCATACTATGAAGTTTTTCACATATTGTATTGTATAATTGGTTAGCTCTATTGTAATCTTTCTCTAGAAGGGAGCACAGCTGTTTGACAAGAGACTGCACGAGAAGACTGATGGGTGTGGTTGCTGTTGTATTAACAATGTCCACTTGCTGCATGCTTTGACTGAAGAGAGACTCTCTGCGACTATTAAGTTCTAGACCTGAAAATTGATAAACATTTATGTGAAAATGAATAGAGTGGTAAATTTAAGTCTACTGTGTGTGTAAATATTACTTATGTAGTAAGATGACTCAGTAAAATGTAAAATATGGTTCAAGAATTGTATATATAAGCTGATAATATTGTGCATTGTCCTTGTGGTTTATTATTGATAACAGTGTTACATTTTGTAATGTTAGCCATTTCGTAAGTACGTTTACCTATAGTTAAACTTTACATTTCATTACATTTATTAGGTTTATTTCTAAAACTGGTAGTTAATAGTCATTATCATTCGTTGCAGTAGACACTTAATACATTGCGTAATTTCTTTCTTCTAGAAGGTTAAGAGTAAAAATGTATTAAATCATACAAAAATTATGGAAGAGCTTACCTAAGTCAAATGATTTAACAGTCGCCAGAGCCTCCCATTTATCTTGTTTTTGAGTTTCCATTACGGTAAATTTGGAATTGTCGACTAGTGGCTAAGATGTTCAATCCACGATTTTAATTCAGTAAAATATCTTATTAACATAATCACGCAAAAACCACTAGGGTTTCACTACTGTTTTGAAAGAAATACATATTTTCTCACACTGGAAATATCAAAATACACAAATAAACAAATAACACCACAATCACACGCAATAATATGATGACAGCATGAAAGTAATAAGTACCACGTCCAACAGGAATGAGTTCTATCTGTACATCTTGCATTAAATTAAAGAAAATAAAACCTTATTTCAACGTGATAAGAGTCTTGTTGAACGCAAAATGATATTGAAACGAGTGAGAGGGCTACAAGTGTCCGCCATGTCCCTTTCCAACAGTGACCTAGAGTTGCCAGATATCAATCCTTTCGTTGTTTGTAGAAAAATAGGCGATTGATGAAATGTAATGCAGTAAAAATGGTCGCTTTTTTAATGTTTCTAAATATTAATAATAATTTGTTACCGACATGTTGAGGCAATATTATTTGTTGCTATGGGTAAAACCTTTTTAATAGGAAAATGTTGCGATTGGAGTATAGGTTTTCTTTTATTTGTTTGAAATTCGGACACCTGAACTGACAACCCCATATGACATCCCAACTCGGACTTTAATGGCGGAGTCTTTTTGATTTCGTGATATTTTTGAAGAATTTTAGTTAAAACGGCAAGAATTTTTGTCGTGGAGGCCTGCCGAAGCGAGTATAACACTGATTGTGGGTTAAATTTTCACAGGAAATAGTTTTAAATATAATTTGTTGGTGAAGAATTCTGGTGACCATGCATGACTATCCAATCATAGTTCAAGAACAATTAATTTAAACACTTATGCGTTTATTTCTTCCTTTCTCTATTAAAACAACACTGTTTTAATTTCAGATTTAAGATATAGGAATAAGCTTGGTTTGCTTCATAAACTTCACAGGACATTTTTCACAAGAATTTAGCAATCTCTGATTTAGAATCATGTAGTTTGTATTGTTTTTTAAAAAATACAATAATGATAACACTATTACGTCAAAATCCATCTAAAGAAATAAACAGCTGACGTCAGACAACAAAAACTAGATTTTTTTATAATCAATGTCCTTTAATCATATTTTAACATAGTCACCATCGCCAGAGAGGGATAAAACGGACAGTTAATAAGGTCTCACTCGGCTTCAATTTTTCGATTATAGCTCAATCCTGTTCTAGAAGTACATCTATGGATGACAGATACAGATAACAAAAATGGTGCATGTGACGTACTTGTGAGTGACACGCAGTAAAAAAGTGTAAATAAAAAAAAACATTTGAAATCACAAAATTCTATTAACAGAGAGATTTGGAAAACAGATACCTATGTTATGAAATGCAGAGTTTAAAATTTACTTTATGAAAATATGGTTTTATAAGTCGTTTTGCACAAAGTCGTTTACTAAAATATTATTGATTGAACGCAGTTTTTTCTCTACTCAAAATTTGATATTGACTGTTATCTGTTATGTTATTTAAAAAAAATCAAACCATGTGTTTGTAAATAATTAGGAATATTGTTGAAAAAAATATATTTCTAACATGAATCTTCTTCCTAAGACCCACAAGGAGTTCAGTGAGAAAGATTACTGGAATAAGTTTTTTAAGAAACGCGGTAATAAAGCGTTTGAATGGTAAGCAATGATACATAAAAAAAAACATTTCTAACTTTAAATTCGTTTTTACAATGTAATGTTCATTTTTCTCAGGTATGGTGAATATTTAGAACTGTGTGGACATCTTCACAAATATATAAAGCAAAAAGATGCCGTACTTATCACAGGTTGTGGTAATTCCAGCCTTAGCGCCGATCTTTATGATGTCGGTTACACAAATATAACAAACATAGACGTATCAGAGGTTGCTATACGACAAATGAATACTACAAATGCTGCACGAAGTAGTATGAGATTCTTACATATGGATGCTTTAAATATGACCTTTGAAAATGATGTTTTTAATGTGGTATTAGATAAAGGTACCTTAGACGCGTTAATGCCGGATGATTCAAAAGAAACAAATGAAAGGATAGACAAGTATTTCGCTGAAATAAAGAGAGTTTTAAAGCTTGGTGGTCGCTTTTTGTGTATATCTCTGCTTCAAACACATATTTTAAACAAATTAGTTAAGGAATTCTGTGACAAGTCTTGGATGTTCCGCATTGTAAGATGTCATGAGGCGGAACAAAAAAACAATGAGAACGGAGATGGAAATACTTTACCAGTGTTTGTTGTTGTTGCTACCAAGTTTAAGGAACTACCAAAATTAGTAAGAACCTTATTTCAATTTATTTCCTAGGATTATTCCCAACCGTCACCCCTCTTAATCTATCCTATCTATCTATCTATCTAATAAATCCCACCATTTAGTCCCACTAGCACCGATAAGGTGACAGATGGAACCATCAAGATATAATATAAGTTTCAACTGTCCCCTCTTCACATAAGGTGGGACAGATGAAACTTTTTATTCTCATCTGTCCCCGCTCGAGTACAGAGCGGGGTGATGGTTGGGTATATTCCATTTCTTATTGTAAATTTTACTGCTAAACTACCTTTGAAAAACTTGTTTCTGTTTTGTTAAAGAGTAACAATTTGTTTTGTACAAGTTTTAGTGGATACAATATTTCCAAAAACTCTATACACAGCTTTCTTCACTTCTATAGTATAAGTTGACAAAGGAGCAAGTGGCCACTGGAATTTAGTTGAAATAACAAAGCAACAACTATCCATAGACATTCTTGTAGAGAAATATTATATTAACAAAGCCATCAATATATTATGAATACATTTTAACCAATATCTATGTGTGTCAATAATTGACTATAAATTTACTATCTGTTATAAAATAAAAACAATAGTAAGTAGCCTATGTGTTATCTATGACAAATTTCATTGAGATCCATTCACCAGTTTTGACAGAAAACTAGAATAAACAACCATCCGTTTAAACTCACATTTCTAATTTTAATAATATAAACCTGTTTAAGATAATAGAGGTATGCATGGCTGGAGAGAAAATGATCAGACTGGAGACATCACAAGAGTTACAGGATTGTGTGAAATCTGTTCAGGATACAGCATTTGTTACTAATGGACTTGCTAGGACTAATTTAGATGAGGATGATGAGGTGAGATAAGTTGGTTTTGGCAGTTATTTTGTTAAATAAATAAATCTATACTAATACAAGCTATCGCCTGTGACTCCCTACACGTGGAATTCAAAAACACAAAAGTGAGTTGCCCATGTGTTCTTCCAGACTATCCTCTGCACCTATACTAAATTTCATTGAAATCCATTCAGCCGTTTAGGCTACAAACTCTAACAAACATCCATCCATCCATCCAAACTTTTGCATTTATATTATTAGTATGAGTAGGAATATAAAGAGAAGTATTTTTGTATGTATTGAAATAACTTAAAAACTACTGGGCAGATTTTAAAAATTATTTCGCCATTAGAAAGGTAATTTATCTGTGAGTAATATAGGGTTTATTTTTTGATTCCTTACGGACAAAGTCACAAGCAACAGCTAGTAACATAATAGTAATATTGTTTATATTGGAGTTTCATTATGGTTTTTGATAACCCTATAGTAATGTTGATGGTTAAAAAGTTTGATTAATGTAGATTTTTTTTAATTTCAACATTAAAATCATTTTGAATTCAAATTGTCCAAAAAAAAATATGCACAAAACCTTGTCTTCATTGAGATTCCAACATAAACAAAATCTTTTAAACCTGTAATTTAATATGAAAGTGACCTTGGCGTAATAAAATAAATACGACTACCAGGTCTCACTGGACTTAATGCAACCAGGGGAGGAGACACCTCGCTACACCCTGTATGTGGTTGATCAGAAGCGCTCGCAGGCCGCCAACAAGTATGCAGTCTTTGTTGTGCCGCAGGGCAGGTAAGGTAACACTGTATATCCTGATTTTATCAACTTTTAGGTATCAATTAATGATCTGAATTTGTATACACATTGTATTTGTATACATATTTCTACAGATTTTTGACCGACTTCCCAAAAGAATGAGGTACTCAATTCGTCTGTACGTTTTTTTGTGATAAATTTCTATGGTTTTGTTTACTTTATTAATTTTATAAGTATTCAAGTTATATAGTGTTACAGCGATGTTTGTCGATATTCTACTCTGACTACCCCTAGATTACACGGTCGCTATAGTTTATAGTTTTTAATGTTTACCTGTCTTAAAATACAAGTTTAAATCTGTCTACATCGCGGTCGGTCCAGAAGGATCGTTATAATATTTACATCGTGTTCTTTGGAGGCGGCTGGCGTGATGCCCGATACATGGAGCTAGGAAAAATAAATTCGGCAAAGATATATCAAAGAAAATACCTTTATTATGTTATAGATTTATATGTATTGTGGTTCCCCTTGTTGTTTATATTCAAACTAGCTGTTCCCGTGCGACTTCATCCGCATAAAATTATGAAAATTTCATTTTATTGTTTACATCTGTCAAATTATCAATTGCAAATATTAAGATGACATGACATGATGACAAACCATGACAACCTTGCTTCCTTGATGTTGGCAACAACTTGTGGTCTCTTTCCCACATTAGGATTTTTATCACAAATATTTACCCCTAAGTTTAATGGCTTAAAAATATATAGCCTAAAGCATGACGAAAGTGTAGGGCTTTTTTTTAAAAAAAAAGAATTATTCAAAAATATACTGTAATTGCTGACATCTTAGGCAACAAAGAAGTGTGTGTTTACGCTTTATTATAATAGTATAGATTTATAATTTAAATCAAAAACTATATATAAGTTTTACACCATTATATTTTGATAATAGTCATTAAGGGACTTCCTTAAAATAACATTAATAACTACTTAAGTAAACTAAATACAGTCTCTTAAACTTGCGTTTACAAAAATCAATCGAGTTACCTTACGGGTGACTTTTATTCTGTAGTTTGAAATAACGTGACTAAATTATTTAGAATATAATAAGATGCCATATCCAGTTTATTGTATATCTGTATTCTTCGTGAGATACCTCTCAACCCACCCGCGAACAACAACAAAAGCACAGTGCGTTGCCTCACTATCTCACTTCGCGATCGCTTTCAATACGGAGTGCACTTGAAGAAATCTTTTTTATTTATTATTAACAATTATAAGTTTAAGCTCGAAGTTTTGCAAATTAAAAGTGGTAAAAAAATCCCAGTAAGTAAATTTTTTCATGCATGAATATTGATAATTTTTTTTTATTATTTATATTTAATAAAACATCAAACAAGTTTGGCGTACAGAACGCTAACCCGCGAACAGTTATCAAAAAAAACCCCAAAAATTACAATTGGTTTTCAAAGAATGTGTTTGTGAAACGAGATTTTTTTTAAATAAACTCTTACTAATATTATAAATGCTAAAATTGAGATGGATGGATGTTCGTTAGAGTTTGTAACCCAAACTCCTGAACGGATCTCAATGAAATTTGGTATAGATATAGAGGATAGTCTGGAAGAACACACAGGTTACATGTTTTTGTTCTTGTAAATTCTACGCGAACGGAGTCGCTGGCGAAGGCTAGTAATAGCTAAATATGAGTTAAATGATTTGTAGAAGACCGTGTCAATTAATATATTCAGAATTATCAAAATTGTAATTACATGGAAAATGTGAAAATCTGTCATCTCTACTTACTCTATTAAGTGACAAGCGTGATGGTCAATTCGATTGCACATGTTGCGGGCAATGTCCAGTGAACTGCAGTCAACATCCGCCCACGTCCTAAGAATAAATATAGATTTGAAATAAATATTTTTCTTAGGAAACGCAAAAAATACGCATTCGGTTTGTAAACAGAGATAAAAATAGTAAACATCGTCAAGGTTGAATATTTATGTTTGGTTGAAATAAACAAGGAACGGACACACCCACTTTTCGTCTTCTGGCGTTAGGGTAGGCCACGATAGGGCGGCCGCCCAGGGCGCTGCCAGAACGGGGCGTCATAGGTCTGCAAATCACTCGTAAACCCTATTTCTGCAGTTCCTTACGGGTACTTTAAAGATTCTAAGTGCAGTAACTTATCTAAAGTTTTACATTTGTTAAACTACCATTTAAAACTTAATTCTTCTGCCTATCCCTTTGTTTTAAGGGGTGTGTGTATGCGTGTTGACGAGTGCTGAGTGATGTTGCAATGGCACGCCCACATCTCGCATAGCGGTATGATTTACACTGTAAATACACGCACTGGATAGCCGCCCAACTATTCTAATTATTAAAATTAACGTCTAAGATATAAACAACCATGTGACCCGTTTTTTGGTTTAATTTATAGCTTTATACTTACGAAAATATCGTTCCAAATATTTTTTTTTTATCAATCGAAGATTTAAATTCTTTCACCATAAAAAAGCTACGTTGTCAGTGAGTAACATAGGCTGTTTTATATTTTTTTAATTCGACGCGGACGGAGTCATGAGTGAAAGCTATTTATAATATTAGTAATAAGTAAGATTTAACAATTTTGGATTGTCTATGGAGGAAAATCTGTCCTCTACAGGAGCTTTCTCGTGGCAATTGTTAAACTTGTAATTGCAAACGTAACTCTTCAGGGAGTCAGAGTGGTTGTTCGGCACACCAGCTGGTAGACGGCAGCTGCAGCAGTCTGCTAAGTTCTCCCGGCTGGCGGTGGTGCTGCTGCGCCGAGGACAGGTCTACCACAGCCTCGACGCCGTTACCGACGAGCTCGCGCACTCTGCTAAGATGTTAGCTCCTAACGGATTCTCGGGGCAGGTGAGTAGTTAGATAATCTAGACTATAGATTCTCCTCCTTATCCTACTCCCGTAGGGTCGGCGCAACAGGTTTTTGTCGTCCACATAACTCTATCATACGTCATCTCAGTCATCACTCCCTTCTTGATCCTGTAACCTTTCACGCTATCCATTCCCCTTTCTAGGTCTACCTCTATCGGTGTACCTCCACACTCATAACTACCATTCTCCTTGTAACATGCGATTCATCACTCCTCATAACATGCTCATACCATGCTAACCTTTTACTCCTTACCTTCTCTACCACTGGGGCTCTCTCAAACTACTCTCTCTCTACTCTCAAACTTCCTCTAATATACTCATTTCGTGTCTTATCCATTCGTGTTACCACACATCTATCTTAACATTCCCATTTCTGTCACATGTAGTCTCCTTTCATCCGTTCTTTTACTGCCCAACATTCAGATCCATTCATGAGAGTTCTCACGACTTAATCGATGGCGGAGTCGCACATAAAGATAATATTTCCCCTGCCTGTGTTTGCGCAACCGTCAAATACATTTCCCTTCCTTAAGACTTAAGAAGTATTAATTTGTGGTAGGTTTAGGTAATTTGCAGTACAATCTGTGCGGTATTTGTTCGTCCAGATACCGTTTCTGTCAGTGGGCAAGGAGGTGGGGCGGCGCGCGGCGGTGGCGGCGGGCAGCTCTGCGCTGTCGGGCGACTTCGTGGTGGAGGACGTGGACGTGGCGGGCAGCACGCACCGCCGCCTCGTCTTCCTCGACAACCAGTTCCTGGTGCAGTCGGAAGCTAGGCTGAAAACAGGTAACCAAAATTATAAAGGGGAAAGGTTTTTTATTTTTGTATGTAATCGATTCACGTAAAAACTACTAGGTTGATGTTAAAAGTTCATTCGCCATTAGAAAGGTAATTTATCTGGGAGTAATATAGACTATGTTTTTTTTTTAGTTTCGCACAGACGATTTGTGAAAAACAGCTACATATATTGTTTATATTTTAGTAACAGTATTGTGAATGTGAAAGTTTGGATGGATGTTTGCCCACAAGTTGAAAAGTTTCGATGAAATTTAACACATGTAAAACTTTGTTCGGTAGAATTATCAGTAAATTAGTAAGTAAATGTATTTATGTTTTTTCATTGCGCTCGGACATAGTCACGGACCATAGCTAGTCATAACTAAGATTTTGCGATGAAATTGAAAATTTTTTGTTTATTCGGTTTTAATTAATTAGAAAATTTTATTTAATAAATTCAACATTTATATATGAGTACTCCTTGAATTTACTATTTAAATTATTGACCGACTGCCCAATAGAAGGAGGTACTCAATTCGTCTGTATGTTTATTTTTTGTTGTAAATAATGCGTATCAAAAATTTTAAACATAATTTTAACCTACAGTCTTACATCAGCTAAAAGATTATTATTTAATTTCCAGTAAAAAAGAAGAATAAAACGCGTACAGTGGTAGACTTCGGTTTCATATCAACGTACCACGCTATAATGTGCGTGGGGGCGCAGCTGCGGGGCGGGGGGCGGGGCGGGGGGCGGGGCGCCGTGCTGGGGCTGGGCGGCGGCGGCCTCCTCATGTTCCTCCGCAGCTGCGTCCACGACCTGCAGCTCACCGCCGTCGAGCTGGACCCCGCCATGCTGGACGTCGCACACAAATACTTCCACTTGCAACTTGACGACAGACTTCAAGTCCACATCAAAGATGGACTCGATTTCTTGAAGGATGAAGCGGAGAAAGGTGACTTTATTGTGTTATTGTCAGTTATAAGTTCAGAAATCTATCTACACTTTTGAACCCTTTAAAAACTTTAACATAACAAATACAATATCAAATTTGCTAGATACTTGTATGCCAGTTCCGTTTACATACGTATAGTTGACACAGTAGCTTGAATTCAAGTATACCAGTTACTGGCATGTATATTCCCGTCCTAATGTACGACCATTTTAATTAGTGTAAATGTATTGGAAATTGTTATTATATCTCAGTATTATATTAGAGTAGTTTTCTCCAATCATCTAGTAAAGTGAATATTTAATACTAGCTTTCGCCCGCGACTTCGTCTGCGTGGAATATAAAAAACGTGATTAGCTTACGTGCTCTTTCAGACTATCAAATTTCATCGAAATCCGTTCAGCAATTTTACAAACTCTAACATACATTAAAACTTTCTCATTTATATTGTTATATATACTTTTATAATTGTAAAAAAAAAACTGTGTGTAATGAATAGGCTCAAAAACTGGGCCGATTTTAAAAATACTTTTACCGTTAGCAAGGTAATTTATTTGTGAGTAAAATAGGCTATATTTTTATAATATTTTATAATCCACGCGGACGGAGTCGTGCGCTAAAGCTAGTGAAATATAATAAAAATAATGAAATATAAATATGTACTTATGCAGGTGCGCAGTACTCGGTGGTGATGTACGACATGGACAGCAAGGAGCGGTCGCTCGGCCTCGCCTGCCCGCCGCCGGCCTTCCTGCAGCGCGCCGCGCTCGCCCGCCTCGCCGCGCTGCTCCAGCCGCACGGTCGGTGCGCCACCACCACCACCACCACCGCCAGCTACATCTCCCCACTGTACTGTTATGTGGTAGTGCCCGCTTTAACATGTTAGCAGTGCAGGGCCGGCACGCCCTCAGTAATACCACGACCACACAGAAGACACGCGTCAAATGGAAGCAATTCCGTGTACAGTCTGATGAGTGTGGTGCCGGAGGCCTCATTTAGGTCCCTTTCTCTTTACCATCCTTTTCTTGTAAGGAGAGGTTGGGTAGGGGAAGTGGATTTGACGGTGGAGGAGATGCATAGGAAGGGGAAATATCCTCTTTATGTGCGTCTCCTCCTCCGTCGTATAAGGGTAGACAACGCATCTGCAATTGCGGATGTCTATGGGCAGCGGTCGCTTCGCCATTTCGGCGGATTCTAGTGGCCGCTTACTCGTTTACCATGTTATAAAAAAAAAGCATGGGTAATGAAAGTGGATTTGACGCTGGAGGAGATACATAGGAATATGATATAAATTGTTTAAAAGTACAGATGCGTTGCCTACCCTTAATCGACAGAGGAATCGAATTGCGAAAATATCTAAGCGGATACTACCACTGTCATCGTCTTTTACTGTTTTCTTATTCCTAAGTACAGTCGTGGAAATCTACAGTGTTCCATTTACAAATGCCTTGTTCCTAACGAGACAGATTACGTATCTCATTATGTTGCAATAGGTTAATAATGTGTACGAAATGTAAACGCGACAGCTTTTAAAGTGGAACACCGTTGGAATCCCTAACTGTACCCTTCTTCAAAACCCTTTCTTATAGTATTGTTTGTCTAATTTCAGGTCATTTCATACTAAACTTAGTATGCAGAGATGTGAAACTGCACGATTCTATAATAAATACGCTTAAAGAATACTTTAAGCATTTAGCTACGGTCAAATTGTATGAAGAAGTGAACGAGATTGTGTTCGCTAGGAACAGCGCTCCGTACACGATGGAGGAGCTGGAGACGGCAGCTAAAGATCTGAATGCGAGAGCGAGACAGAAGAACTTGGTGAATATAAAGTGTGTAGATTTGAAGGACTTTTTGCAATCAGTGACTATAGTTTCCTGAGGTCCGGTGAGCCGGGGACTCTAAGAGTGAGATTTCTTAAGTGTAAGAGAAGAAATTAACGTATTCAATGAAACTGTTATGTAACTGGAAGATTTACTTTACTTATAGTAAATAGGTATGTACCAAACCCTAACAATATTTACATACCTTTGACTAAACTATCGCACAATAGGCAATATTCATATGACGCCAAATTGTACCAAACTTTTTTTAAGTATACTTTATTACTATAAAAACAGTCCTGCAAAGATTTTTTTAAATATAATGTGATTTAGTGGCAAAATTTAATCATTAAAAAGGGTCTTTTTTCAAATTCCCCCGCTAAGTTCTAAAACGCACACTATTGGTCGAAGCAAGTGGCTTATCTAATATGGCGTCGCTGTGTTCACAACACACAGTTCATTTACGTTAGTTTATATAGAAATACACTCTTGAAGTATTTTACTGTAAACACGATATCAAAACCAACTTTAAAATAAAAAATTAATGAATAGAATTATTAATTACCATTTATTTGTACCAGGAATAATAAAAATGAATCGATTTTTGACTTTTTGACCTTGAGAAACTTCTGTGTTTTACGTCGAAGTGACATCTGAGCGTATGATATGAATGGAATAAGACGATTGACGTCAATTGTCTCATGACAACTCCGGTCGCGTTTTAGTCGCTCCAAAATGGACGTAATTTTATTTTATTATTTTTAGCTCAATGGTTGAATATTTTCGCGACATTTTTTCTTTCTGGTTATTTTATAACAAGTATATTTTATACAAAAATACATGCATATTCCCTATTGCAAAACAATCGACAATCGCACAACTGTTGTGCGATAGTTTGGTCGGAGGTGTGCGCCAGCTCTTAGTGTTAATGTTAGAATGTTTCCATTGTTATTGTTTTAAGTGAATTGACATTAGTGTTGACAGATCCGTCACTTGTTTGACAAACTGACAAGTGTTGGCAAAGTCATAGTTAAATTGTTGTGTCTATGGACTTTATTTCTGTTATACATATGTTTTTTTTAGATAAATATAGTTTGTTACATTGTTAGAGTACATAATATTGTGGTATTTGATGATACTAGCTTTTCCTCGCTACTTTGTCCGTAGATTAAACCTAGTAACAAATATTAGTGAGAAAGTAAAAATATTAGTGATCATATATATTTCTGATGGTGAAAGAATTTATTGAAATCACTCCAGTAGTTTTTAAATTTATTAGATACAAAAATACAAATCTTTCCTGTTTATATTAGTATAGTAGAAATCAGAACACTACTTAAAATATTGTATAATTATATTAAATAATTATTGTTACATATTAAATGTTTTATTAATCTTAGTTGTGTGTTTTTTTAATTACCTGAATTCACTAAAATAACGAAGCGACCAAAGCCCATAGACATCCGAAATTGCAGCTACCTTTCCTTAATCGACGGAGATACACATAACGATATTTTCCCTTCCTAAGCTTTTCCACTGTCGAATTCATTTTCCCTTCCCATCCTTTCCTTATAAAAGGTGGGACACCGCGAGATTCCCTGATCCTACTAGTCGCAGTGAAAGTCGAAAATTAATCTTAGTAATATTATAAATGCGAAAGTTTGGATGTTTGTTAGTTTGTAGCCTGAACTGCTTACCGGATTTCGAAGAAATTTGGCATAGATAAGGAGAATAGCCTGTAAGAACACAGGCTAGTTTTTTAATTCCTCTCGTACGCAGTGGCAGGCGAAAGCTACTGTGTTTATATTGGAAGCAAATTATTACATTGTATTGTTTCTATTTCCTAGTTCATCGTACTGAAGTCACTGCTCTCTTAATTTGAAATGAGGTTTTTAACCCTTCACGACTTGTTTACTTAAAAACCTGTATTTTTTGATAATAATTATTCATGCGATTGCGAGATGTTATTTGTTAGGTTCGTACTACAAAAAAATTTAGATAAAAGATTGTTTTGATTCTTTATTTTGTTGAGAAAGTTCAAGGCTACAGCAGTATTCACTTACATATTCCTTTGCTCTTTAAACTATAAAATATAGTAAAGCATTGATAGATTTCAAACAATATAAGGAACTATTGTCATGTGTTTTGTGTTTGAAGGAAAGGCGTAAATAAATAAAATGACTAGATAAATATAACGCATTTAATGCCACTGTACCGACTAGTGTCCAGTTGACATCGGTGCAGAACATAATTTACCTCGCCGCAGCACTCGCACTAACACGCACAAATCAAAATTAACAACAATTAGGCTCCCTAATTATCACAATTGGCACCTAATGAGGTCTAACAATGACACAATAAACTTTATACAATAATTTAATACCTTCAATACGAGCAAAGAAATAATTTACAACAGCTGAACGCTTCATTGAGCGACAAACACACCAATATTACAAAAAATAAAGTTCTCAAAACACTTTCTTCAATATATTCTTGAGGCTCTTCTTCTTCTTGCCGGCGCCGGCGCTGTCCTGCTGGCTGCTCTGCGACAGCTCCGTGGACTCGGACCACAGGCTGCCGGTGGGCGACTCTGAAGCCGCCTTCTTACCCAGCTTGCCGTTGAACAATGGCTCAGAGCCGCGCGTGCTCTGCCGGCTCAGCGTCCGCAGAAACGCAGGCGACGACAGCCGTCTCGTTTTCATAGTTTTCGATTTTAAACTATTAAAAAACGAGCCGTTCGTTTTAGGTGACTCCTTCTTATGAGGCACCTCCTCCGTGAACTCCCGCGGCTCGGACACGGGCGCGAAGTACTCCCCCTCGTCCAATGGTATGGGATTTTCTTGCAGCTTCCCTATGCTGTCTTGTCTGACGCAATTCACGGCAGATTCATATTCCATACCTCTTTGTAAAACCGTAGTCTTTCTTCGTCTGTTCTTCTTAGCCACCTGCCAGTCACCATCATTTAGTTCCCTGTCCATCGTGGCCATTTCCTCAGTGGACTGTCTCTCTATCTCGAACGCCTCCTCGCTCGGTCTCCGCTTCTTAGCCGAGGGAGTGGCATGGCCGCTTACTCCTTCGACCGATTTTCTTCTAAACCTCTCCTGCCTTTTCTTGATTTTCTTTGTAACAGGCATCACTACAATAGATTCCTTCTTTCTTCTTTTTGATACATAGTAGAATGCGATGCTGAGTATTATGGACTGAAATAATACGAATTTGATGACTGTCATGTTTCCAAACCAGCTATTTCTCTCCTCCATGAGAGTGTGCAGCGCGGATGCCATTTGCGTCATCTGCTCCTGAAGGTTGCTCAGCTGCTCCAAGTACTTCTGCTCCCGCTCGCTGCTCTTCCTCCGCTCCTCCGACATCTGGACCATGGTCTTCTCAAATGACTTCTGCATTTCTTCGACTTGTTTCTTGTACCGCCTGCTCAGCTCCTCCAGATATTGACCGGATAGTGACATGTTTCTTTCTAAAGTCTGAAATTGAGAAATAAATTTTGTTAACAAGTATAATGCAAGTGACTATGCACTATTTTGTCTAGGTCTACTTATAAACATAAGTTTTATCTCATAATTTAAAGTTTTGATTTTGAATATGATGATATAAGTTAAAGAAACTATTGTTTCATATAACATTAATATGTTAAATGAAAATTTCATCGTACCTTAACTCTGTTAGACAATCTCAGGAAAACGGACTCTTTTTGTATAGTGGTCTGCGCCTGGTTCTGGCTGAGGGCGGGCTGCGCGCCGGCGGGCGCGGGGTCCACCGCCATCTGGTCCAGGTCCGAGATGAAGTGGTCATTCTCAATCAATATCATTTGATCATTAACATCATCAACTAGCAGCGCTTCCTTTGGTTTGTCATTTGAAGTATCGTGCTTCCCATTCTTCACTTCTGTCTTTACAGTTCCATCTTTTCCTTCGTTTTCGATCTCCGACTCCAAGACTTTTTCATTTTCAGGTTGAGAATTCTCTTGTGGCTCTGGAATTGGAATTTCTTCTGGCAATGACTGGTGTTCCTCCTTTTTCAGTTCTGTTTCTTCTTTTTCTTCCTTTAATACCTCTAAAGTTATAATATTTTCATCTGTTTGCTCAGTAGGTGCTAGCGTTTCTTTTAATTGTGTTTCATTAGCTTTCTCGTCTACCGCATCGCCATTTTTGATCGGAACCAATTTAATATCTAAATCAGAATTAGTTTCACCGTTCAATTTATGCGGTGATTCGTCTAACGTTATGTTTGTGGTTACATTTTGTTCTGTCTCAAAACTCGTATTTAGTACGACCTTCTTCTCTTTAATTGCAAGCATGTTGCACAACGCGGCTAAATATTTCGGAGGAAATAAAGCGTTCATGTACGCGACACGTTCGTCACTGAACTCGATTGTTTTTGTACTTTTAAAATCTAAACCGTAAGGTTGACAAATTCCCGTACACTTCAAAGTCTCTCTTAGGAACACTTGACGCACTAAATTAGTTAATCTGTCCGAACTACAACTGAGTAGCTCATAAACTTCATTATAAAGCGTTTCACTACAATTATCACATACAATAATATGGCTTGGAGAACAACACTTTTTGTACATTTCGTCCACCGACGTATCGTTACTTTCATTAGATACATTTTTAGGAACTTCCGTCTTCACTAACGCTTGAGCAGCTTTCTTCATAATAGACATGACCGCATCCCTGGCCGACCCGAAAAGGTTTTTCGAGGGCTCAGTTTCCGCTGTGGGCACATCGGGAACATCAATTATCTCGTCATCCTCGTCTTCATCTATATGAGCCGTGTGCTGGGAGCTTTCCTTCTCTAGCACCTCAAACTCTGATGTTCCGTACACTTTAAAAAGCGAAATGGGGCAATAATGTTCAGAGCCGTGATGAGACAGCATCTCGACTTTTATAAATTTACCAAATAAATGTGGATACAGATCAAAACTCTGTACATCCCTCATATCTTGAGCAGTGAACTGGCCGACGCTGGCCCAGTCCCGCGTGGGGAATCGGTCGCTGAAGTACACGGCGAAGTCTTTGGGCGTAGAGGAGAACAACTCGAAGTTGGCTATCTCTATTTTCTGGGCTTGTACCGCCTCGCACAACTCGATGACGAACCAGATGCGGCTGGTGCATGTGTTGAGCATGTACTCATCCCTATTCGGGGACAGGATAGAGCTGGCTGAGCCGGCCTCGGGGTTGGTTGCAACCACTTTTGCTCCGCAAGCGAGCGAAGCGTAATTTTTTGAGCGAAGCTTTGTGCTTTT